CTTCCCTTTCTCTTCCCAACTTCTCCCCTTCGTTTTTCTCCTTCCTGCGTGAACCCTTCCTTCAACGTCTCAACATCTTCTCTTCACAATGACTGAACATCATCGCTCCCTTGTTCGTCTACTCGAGACATGAAATCACATGAGCAAGAGAATGAGCTATATTGCCGTCTCTGAGTCTCCAAGCCCAAGCTGGACGAGATGAATGACGAATGTGTCAATGCTGTCTTGCTCAGTATGACGAGCAGAAACCCGTTTCAGTTCCTGATGCCTTTTTGGACAAGGAATGGCCTCTCGGAGACTTGACCTCTGCAAGTCGACATTGTGCTCTCATGTCGAGCTGACTTGCAAATGGACTGAGTTGAAAAGAAAGGCCCACCTCCCACAGGACTAGTCAACACGCCTTTATTTCAGCAACGAAAAGAAGGCTTCCGAGGCTCAGCACCGTAACTGCCCAATACTCCTATCCTGTGCACTATCCTCATGGGTGCTACTCATAGAGCGACAGAGGACGAACTCCTTAGGATGCGAAGGCACTGAGATGGTCCTCCAAATCCCACAGCGATGGAAAAATGGAAGAAAAATCTTCTGGAGTCAATAGGTGGAGCACAAAAATGTCGATTTTTCTTCCATTTTTCATCGCTGCCTGCCTCTCTCAAACCCCCTCTTACTCACACCCTCACCCTCACCCTCTTCCTCAATCTCTCTCTCTCTCTCTCCCCCTCACACACCCTCACCTTCTCTCACACACACCCTCTTCTTCTCCCTCACCCTCTCTCTCACCCTTTTGTTCACACTTCCTTCTCACCCCTCTTTTCTGTGACCGTACCTGATGGCAAGTACCCATATGTCAGGACAGGTTGTAGCGTGATCCGATATTTAAACCGTAAACTTTCAGCTCTCTCTTCCTGATAGGATATAAACTTGAAATCAATCCCCTGGTTCATGCAATTCTTACTGTACTGCACCAAGCTTAACTTTTCATGATGCAAACTAGGGAGAAGGGAAAGCAACGCGACGTAGAAGGCATTTCTAGTGGCTTCTGATTTGGTCAATTACTATGGACAACTTGCGCGAAGACGGAAATCTCTCGCTCTCATCGGTATTACTCATCCATATTCGAAGTGGCTGACGACGTCAAACGGTTGGACCCAATGTTAGTTGTTTTCGAAAGCTAATGTCACTCGCACATTCGATCTACAAAAGTGGAATACGGTGCGACACGAGCAGGATGAGTAGAGTATTGACTGAGACCTCGCCTTAGTCTGCCTAATTAGCGTTGGCACAGCCATAGTTACAGTACACAATGAAAGGACTCAAAAAATCTACTACTCAATGCAGCATCCAATGATGCCGTACAGTCGAAATGACAAGACAACATCGCAGCATTTTTTAACCAAGCGATTACGCCCCGCTTCAGGAGCTGGGTCACATTTGACGTAGAGACCGTGGTGTTTTCTGGACTTCAACAACCACTCAGCCCACATAGAGAAGTACCTCACTCTCGCCGTGCCTCTATCTTTTAAAAGCCGCTTCCCGAACTCCTGGTCTCATGGAAGTCAGTCATTGTCCCCCCATCGTTGGAACTCATACACCAAATCGAAAACGTCTTGACTGCGGTTCCTTTACAGGAGCAGATATGGAATCTTCCGTCCATCCCGGTGCAACCCCTGATAGCTTGAAAGAGCTTTGGAATTCATTCGAGAGAGCATGCATGGAGTCTGTCACCGAACCGCCGACGGATATCGTCGACAGAGTGGCTGCTACACTAGAAGACGCCATATCCTGGTTATGTTCCCATAGTCCCCAAGTTTTCCTGCCGCGACACAGAGGCGACAGCAACTGTCAAGGTCCAAAGTTGAGCTCGTCGCAGCTACCGCCGAGATTGTTATGCAAAGTATCACCTGAAAACATTTTCACTGAAGAAGCTACAGAAGCAGGTCGTCTCGACTTCACCAGGATTGCATCCTTTGCCTGCCGGATCTCCTTTGACCCAGCCGTTCACAGGCTCCATGGACGAGATTGATCCTCCATTGCCGGAAGACCCCATATGGTCGACGTTGTACCAATCAGAACAAGTTCCGCTGAAGCGAGAAAATAACCAAGATCCCTTCGAAACAGGCGGAGGCCCAGCGCCACGAGAAAATGTTCATATGGAACGAGTTTTCCGGAAAAGCACGCCAGTGTTGAGGCACTCGATCACGCACAATTCGACCACGCACAATTCAGGTTCACCTAATGCTGGACCTGTTGCCGTTTCTCGCTCGACTGCAACCTGTTATGCGGCTGGCGAATCACGTGAAGCTCGCGATTCTGGTGGCAGTCCCGTTTTGGCAGGACCGAATGCCGGTCAAGTGTGCTCGACGGGGGTAGAACACCCTGGTTGGTCACCGCAAAATGCCGCTTGTATCGTGCCGCAGTCAGGATGTCAGGAGAGCGGACAACGAGCAGGAAGACTGTCTCGGAGGGAAGGGGTTGATGATTATGACAACGACATGGTCAATGAAGAGGACGTGCGCGGCACACGTTCCGCGAATGGAAGGAAAAGAACATGTGCAAATCGAACTGTTCAATTCCCACGAAAGAAGGCGAAAGTGGAGCACACTCCAGAAGGATTGGCCCAGCGTTTCGGGACGAACAATCGGGGTGCGCTCATCTCTACCTTAAAAGAAGAGTGGCAAGATATTACTTCGCAACTTTTACCGGATATGGACACGACCGCGTCGATTGGCATGTCTCAACGCCACGACGTACCAAGCTTCGTCAACTTTGTCCTACAACAGGGTCGTTTACTGGAAAGGAACTCGCTGAGAGCCGAAGTCCAAAGCTTGAAGAATCGAATAGACCTTGCACATTACTATCAGCTTTATGTGGCCGCCTCCAACGATACCCGGAAAAGCGCCGACTCTCCCTTCTTGGCCTGGATGCGGGAGTGGTATCGACGACATGGCAGTTCACCGTCCCTAGCGATGGGCCAAGGCAAGGGCGCGTCCACAGTGGTCAAGGATTGTCTTGTCGACCTCCATCTCTCCGATTCAAGATTTAAGGGTGTGCCCCCACGAAGCATGAGGCGCAGAGTCGAAAAATGGCGTGCCATTGGGGGATTTTGGTCCAAGCTGATCGAAGGCTTTGGACCTGGCATGTTACTTCTGGCCCCTTCCTGCGAGCCAGACTCCCGGTAAGGCCGTTGCCCTTTTGACGTACTGTACAGGGTTTTACGAGATCCCAGTAAGACCGCTGAGCTGATCGCTACGTAACAGATATGATTTCGGTGAACCTGGACGAAGAGCCTTCCTGACAGCTCTCACCCAGCGGAGGAGTGCCTTCGACGCAATTTTACCTGAAGCTAACCAATTCATGAACCAAAAGTTTCGCCACCAATTTGTGCCTGTGTCTATAGACACATCATTCCCAAGTTTTTCACACTGGCAGACGATGGACAAGGACATCAGCAGGATGATTAGAAGAAACTTTGAGCCCTGCTCAGAGGTCGGCTCTGAAATCGCCGATATGATTTTAGGGTCTCGTCAAGGTGGACATCGCACCATGACCACGGCACGATAGATCTAGTTTTACAGTAACTTCTGCGTATTCAAGGCGGATCAAAGGCTTCTGTAGATGAAGAATGAAGGTTAAGCACAAGGCGAACAAGACAAAGTATTCAATTCTAGAGTACGTTTTGTACCTGCTGCCAAGTTACTTCCATTTACCTAGAGCCAGACAGGAATTCGCAGTCAGCAGCCGAAAAATTCACTCTTTAGGCCTGTACATTATTCTATCCACATTGAGACATTAAAAATTCCCATTCGTCTCGTAAAATCTCAACATTTTCAGCGGACAGTGAAGCGCCAGCCATTCGGTGGTCAAGGTATGTCTTTGCCCGTCGCTGGTCATCGCGACAGCTGCCGGCTCCCCAGAGCTTGAGATGTGTAGATCTTCCACTTCCACCACCTCTTGCTCCCAATCCGTTTGAAGAACCTGGCTTATGCAATCGACGTGGAGGGAGAAGTTGTCATGATTGATAATTCTCTCCGCCGAGCCGCTGGACTTGTTGACCGACTTTGACAAAGCCGGTCGACTTGTGTATCGATTAGGCTTGTGGATTGAAAGCGGCGTCGATCCGATGAGATAATGATGAACAAGCATGTTAGCCAAGCAGTCACTGCAGTCTGTCAACCTAAGTGTTCTTTTTGTTTGGTTTTTCAAAGTTCCTTACGGGAGTAGGTTTTCTCTGGGTTCCCAGGTGTTTTCGGCATCTCGGTAACCCAGCCATTTGATTTCATAGAGCACTTCCTGGCGATCCAGGTCGTATTTGGAACGCTTGATGTATTCGACGTGAAAGCTTTCCAACTGAACATTCGGTTGTGATTTCTCTGTCGGTGACCGTTGGCGCTCTCGTCGATCCATGTCAATTCCAATGACGGGCAGTCGACCAACGAGACTGGCGTGTGTCTCGTGTTTGGACCGCTGAAGTAGAACCTCTACAAGTCGGCTGCGTAGATTCGGTCGTGTGGACAACGTAAGTGTACTCCCATCGTCGTAGCTGCAGTCTTTGCCTTTCTGGGCCGTCTGTAATGTTCTGTAATCTGTGACCTTTGCCATGTTCAAGGCTGCGGAGTTGTTTATCGATTTGTAAGCCAGTGATATACACAACAGTAATGCTACCCATAAGAGCCAAACAGCTGGGAAGAAGAGTGTTTGGAAGATTATGCTACCCTCCATGTATCTTGTAACAGCAAAACCAGGCCAAGATATTTTGAAGGCGTTGCTTATATAGAAGAAGGCCAACATATGTACTGTACCACACTATCGACATATACGTAGAAGCTTCGAACGGAGAGGCTTCGAACTCAGGACGGGATGTTCATTCCACCCAAAAATAAGCACTAGCAGCCACGGGTACTCTCGAACGTCCAAAGCCGTGAATACTATATGCAGTATTGCTGGCAAATTGTCTCTGTACCACAAGGTGCTGCAGTACAGCAGAGCCAGGGAGGGGTGCGTAACAAGGTAAAGATAAGATGGAAATATATTTTCTGTCAAGCTTGTCTCAACCATCGTGCTTTTCTTGAAGTCTGACACTCCTCCTGAATCTCTGAGATATGCATGCAATTCGGTGCTCCAGTCACCAGACAGTCTCCTTTGATTAAATTGGTCGTTCTTGTCTTCATCCTCATCATTGCAGCATGTTTCTTTTCTTGGGTTAAGGTTACTGGATCTTCGCACAGGATGGTCCACCTAAGAATGATTGGTGGTTTAGCACTGAATTGCAGTTCTTTTCCCGCAATGTTATCCCAGAGCATTGAGCAAGGCTTCTTCACAGATCGTGTGAAGGAAGAAACGTAAACCAAGGAAGCTAAATCGAGATACTGTAATACCTTAACAAAACTCCCGCATGAAGATGCACCATATAAAGTCCCGCTGGGTTCCATCGATTCGTGTCTTGACCAGCAGGTGCAGTTATAAGCAGGATGAAAGGGTGTTCCTGGCAACAATCATCAAATTATATCACTTGACGCCCTAGGATGATTCAGCAGCTACGCGATCGTCGCCTATTCCTCATTTAACAAGTTCTGGGGCTGATTTTGATACAGTAGTCAACGGACTCGATGGCACATTTATTTGACCTCCCACATGAACTTCTCTTTCTGGTTGTCCAACACCTGTCGATCAAGCCTTACGGCACCAGTAACACCTGTGGCAACTTGTTCGCAATCTCACTGACTTCGAAACGCTTTCACGCTGTCGCACGAAAATTGATTTATAAAGCCGTATTTTTGCCTTCTCCAAGAGCCGCAGTTCATTTCGCTCGGACCCTCACAGAACATCCTGATCTAGGATTGCTGGTTCAATACTTCGAAGCAGGAGCTCTCGAGAAGACTGATCTCCAGGCCATTTCCCATCGCGACCAGAGATCGAGTGTGCAGGACACAACAACTGCTCAAGAAGAAGCGCAAAGATATTTCCTGCTACCTCTGAAGAGGTGGCATTCGACCATTCCACAGGTGGCCGAGGATCTTCATTACAACAACGGCGCAATCTGGATCTCATCCATACTTTCTCAGCTGCATCGTCTCGTGGAGGTCGAGCTGCAGCTCGGAAGATCAGCGCAGTACCTGAACAGATTGGTACAATGGTCCAGCGTCGATGCCAAAGGAGGGCTCCCATTCAAGAGTATGGCCAGTCTCAGCCTTTTCGCCAACGAAGATGCTGGCGTGGACGTGAAGTCTATTCTGCGGCTGCCCTCCTTGGAAATATTCAGATCTTGGAGTCTGCGCGGGTACTCTCTTCCGAACACGGTCGGGGATATAACCTCGCCTCTCCGTTACCTTAGTCTCTTTCATCCTCACATGGATGAAGCTGAGGTCGCGTCGTTGCTTCGCTGCTGCCAAGATTTACGCCAGTTCGAATTGCAACCTATTTTGGGTATGACTCCGGGAGTGCCATGGTATCATGCCAAAGCAGTGGCACAGGGGATCAGCGCAGGGCTCTATCAATGTCAACAGAACCTAGAGGTATTGGCCATTGATACCTGGACCACCTCCACACCGGCTCAGCCCCTTGATCTCACCGGATATCGACATCTTACCAAGCTCACATTACCAGCAACAGAAGCCGTGAAGTTGGAAGATGGTTGTGAGCCTCTTGCACGAATGGTCTCATTTCCAACGTCGTTAAAATTCTTGATCTTGGTCATGGCCCAGCGTGGAAGAAGTGACACTCTTTGCTCGGCACTATATCAATACGTTGAAAACGAACAACTCTCGCCCGCTCTCAGGACGTTGGATGTCATCTGGGAGCGCAGTCATACCTACAAGGCCCCTGAAATGAGGAAAGTTGAAAATTCTTGTGCATTTCGTGGAATTGTCTTCAGTTCAAGGCTCTCTCATCGATAGACTGTTGGCAAAAAATGACAAAAAAAAGATATTCTCACTGCCCTGCGCAGGGCTCAAAGGGTATTATGATCAATGAGCGAATGCGAAGGAATAACTGGCCCATTGTTTTCAGAAGAGGGCGTCCGCTTCCATCGACCCTCCTGTTAATTCTCCTCGATTTCCAGCCCGAAAATTGTCCATCCTTCGAGTTCTTGACAAATACTGTACTGTCTCTTGGCATGAATAAAACCTATCATGTACGTACATACAGTACAGGAATATACAATACAACAGAACTGTCGAAGGACCAAAAGTTATCATTCATCATTCGAGAATACCCACAGTAAGGGTAGGATAAAAATAGAAAGACAATCCAAGGGGGCTCCTTTTTTGGAATTACCACGAACCTATCCTGGGAATGGCCCACCAATGGACAGTCATCTTTGCTCTCCCCCGAGAACAAGCAAGAAAGATGATCTGGTCCCCTGCTGAAGTTGTCTTCGAAGAGCTCTCACACCCTCTCAATCCCTTTGTCAAGGCTCAGATCGCATTACTTCTTAAAACGTACTCATACTTTTATTGTATTACTACGAGTCTACTATAACTATCGATGGACCCGTGAAGCGGTAATCTAGAATGATTCAACCTTGCCTGACTTCTCGTACCGTATCTACGTTCTCACCTGCATTATCAGGGTGTCGAGCCTGCCAGGAGCCTGATTGACGGGGAATGCTCTTTCCCACCGGACGATTCGTGACTAGACCGTCATTCGATGGACGACTTATCGCTGACTCTTCTCACCGGGGGGAGGATCTCCTCCCTTCTACGCTCGTCCCGCTTTGACCGAGAAGTTCTCGAAGATGTTCAAGCCACCCTTCTTCGGGTTGAAAGCTTGCTGCACCAATGTTCAGGAACACACTCTCCTGGCCGCGGCTCGGCTGCGGGTGAATTGGTTGGCCCTGACGCGTCGATTACGAGTGACAAAACCATCACGGACGAGTCTCACCTTTCCGCTGATTTACACACCGCAGTGTCAAGCCAAGATGACCTACCTATCCTTCCTTCTAACAGAAATTTCGATACACCGGCAGTTGAATCAACCCCTTCATCTACGAATACCGTCACCACAATAGGCCAATTCTTCAAGTACGATCTCTACGCCGCGGATCAAACAGCACTGGTAGATGTGCCCCTACGGCAAGAAGACACACAAAGGAAATGCGATCAGGGGTATGGCTGGGTCAACTTTGTCTATGAGGACACGGATGAGAAGGACTTCCCTCAGGAAGAGGAAACCACGACACAGGGAACCCAAGCTTTTGTAACCCAGGAGGCGAGTCATGTTAATAATGCAAGCGCTGACGAGTGCACCCAAGCGTCACTAAAGGAAGCATGATCTTGCTGCAATAAAGAGAAGAGCTGATATTCTCAGTGATTGATTGGCATATGGTTGAGAGTGAAAAACAACGGAAGTGTTAGGTGCGCCATAGTTCTGAGATGGGTGCGAGGCTGTAGCCCCTGACGCTAAAAGCTTGGCTTGGCGATCAACCACAATCTACAGATCATCTATAAAAATTTCCATTGACGCGCACAGGCCCTGATGTATTGTTACTGTATAGGTGGGTGAGGCAACTGGGTGTGAGTGAAAGGGATTGAAGGCCAAATTGTGAAATAAAATCTAATACCTTAAATATGCTGTGTCCGGACGTGTTTCCTCCATCGAGCAGGCTGAGAGAATGATACAAGACTTATAACTACCCCACGAGAAACCAATTTAAGTTCAGAATCGCACGTCAGCACTACTACCGTAAACTTTACTGCGCCGAGTGCCTCTCTACATACTCATACCGGATTCTTCCCCATTGCCGATTTTGATCTCAAATTTAGGTCAATCTTCAAGTATTGTGTTTCTAATATTAGAACTCAGAGCATCGAGTGTTCAGAAAGTGGTCACATCTAGACCTTGGAGCCCTGAGGATCGACACTCTGTGTCTACGAAGGACTTCACATATAATTACCGCCAAATTTCTCTTGAAGTCGCCCTGGTTACCGTTTCCACAGGACTGTATCACCACATATCCAAGAACTATCGTTGTACTGAGAAAGTCTGTAACATGCACGAATTCAAACGACTCTTAGTGTTTCTTACAGCCTCTGTGCAGCTGGTCATGTCTACGCCTTTCGACACGCCAAATCTTTTTCGCCGTCAATGTCCTGGCGATGCCCTTACCGTCCTTGAAGGCTCCACTTGCGAAATGAGCCAGGCAGACACCCTAGCCTGCTCAGACAATTGTTTTGACATAGTGAGTCATAGGCGTTCAAGGGGAGCCATCTACTAAATGTTTCCAGCTTCAATGTACTCAACAATCTTCCGATCCAAATACGTGGCTGACTTCGACCATCACTCCGAATACCCCGTTCACCTGGACTTCTATTGCGCATTGTGGATTTCCATTCTGTCAGGTAGCGAATGACCAATATGTATGTATGGGTCCGCTTGAGGAAAACTAGTCATTTTCGTCGATTTTGCGGGAAAGGATATCAGTGTCGGTTATCACTAGGATGTAAGCTTGAATACGGTTCTGTAATAATGGGGATAGGTCAGTGAGATGATCTTAGCGAAACGGCATGGAAGTGGCCGCAATATGATGTTTTTGGTCTTGAAACTCGAGGCATATAACTTCAGAACCTTGGAAATTTGCAAGACCAACACGACTTAATGTAGGTAAACAATTCTGCCAGGAGTCAGAGGTTAAAGCATTTCCACCACTGTGACTATTTAAATATCCAACCTACCCCGAACAATTTCTTACCAGGACTAAGTCTGACTTACACCTCCCTCATAACCATGCCCATACCCATGCAGCCTGGATCCCATCGGCACCTCGCTCGTTCAACCCAGAATAGAGAATCACGTATCGATTTTGGAGCTATCGGGAATGAACCCGGCTCCAAGTCATCGACCGCTCCAAACCACCTCGAGCAGATCGCCAGGACAGCGGAAAGGATCAGCACATCATGGAAAAATTGTCCCCTGCCACTGACACGGGAAGAGATATCAAAAAGGGAATTGGAAAACAAATTGAAAAGGCCACCGAGCCAGGAATGCTGAAACCTAGCGCATCTGCTCACCGCCAGACTCCTCCCGGCGCGAGAACGATTCTGCTGACGGTCCGGCACGAATCACCGTGGAAGATGTACAAGCAGGGATATGAGCTCAAATTCGAGGACTTTGTCACCGTCGCCGTCGGTTTATCTCCGAATTCAGGCAAGTTTGCCATCAAAAATTACAAAAGACGTGAAGGGGAAGGAATCCTCGACATGTTGGACACAGTTCGCCACGAGAAATTTATCAGGGTGATGGAGGTTTTCGAGTGGGAACAGACGTACTTTGCCGTCTTCGAACACGTTTTCGTCTCGCTGGAGCAAGTGGTGGCTTGCCCGGCTTATCCAACTGAGCGACAGCTGGTCGCCATTCTGGCACAGGTTTGTTGACGTCCTAGGTGCTGATGGAGACCTGTTTTCTGACTAGATTAGATTCTGGAAGGTCTGTGTTATTTGAGCTCAATCGGGCTCCAGCACGGCACGTTGGCATGCTCAAACGTACTACTGAAGCCGAGCGGAGACATCGTCCCGGGTGAGCCTCCAACAATGGCCGTATAGGGAAGGACTGATTGATTGCAGCCAACCAAGAGTACTGTTGCGCCGCTGAGGAACCAAACACGGCCGATGTGAGGGCGGTCGGCTTTATCGCAATGGAGCTTATGCAGAAATATGTAAAAGACGATGGAGCTATCGGGATCGAGAATCCCAATCGCTGGCCCGGGAACTCTCCATCCGTGGGATTTTTGTCGATGACTACTTCTGCAGAGTCCGTGACGGAACTACAACAGGTGAGGACTTCTGAACAAGAATATTTCTGACAGCTGCTAATCCTCCAAGCACAATTTGTTGCAGCGTTCATGGCGCAAGGAGGACTTGGTGTTGTTGGAAGAGCTGGCTTCGTTCTCCGTTCGGAGAGCCTACAGATACTTCGATTGAGGTCCGGTAGCATTAAATCTAAGTATTCTTTGCTATGCATGATGCGAAGCTTTCAAATCGGTTGGCGATATGACGCTGCCTCAATCTCGGGGAAACCATCCCAGGCAAGCCTCACATGTAATTCCATTCTATGTGAATTCCCGACCTGCGTTTGGGTTCACGGAGATTCTGGCTGTCAGAGCCTATCACAGACCACAGTTCCGGACATACGTTAAACGAGATAGAATAGTGAAACTTTGTTGCTCCTAAGGCGCATTCCATTTCAACGGCTGAATTCGGCTGTTTGCACTACCTGCTAAGATCTAAACATAGCACAGTGCTGGGTAATCATCTTCTCCTGAGCTATTTAATCTTCAATCTTTGTCCTTCCCAACCATGGCCTGTTAAGCCTCTTTCCCAGGGCAATATTCCCTTCCGACGATTCATCCCTTGCTCACCATGGAGATTACCCAGATTTATGCGGTTGTCATTGCGGGCATTGCTTTAATATTTCTACTGCAAACGGGGGTTTCCTCGTTTGCTCCCAGGCTCATTGCTACCGCTTCCCGGACACACCAATACTTGAGTTATACCTATGTTCTCAACCGTCACGCCTTTATGGGTCCCTGGACTGTGACCGCAGTCTTGCTGCGCGTAATATATCTGGCAGTCAACGTGGTGTGTTTGGGTGTTGGTGTCGCCGATCTGTCGCATACCGGACGCCGCGCAGGGACGTTGTCGGTCATCAATTTAGGCCCGTTGTTGAGTGGTCTCCACCTCAACTTTCTGGCCGACTTGTTGGGTCTCTCTGTGGGCGCCATTCGAGCTGCCCATCGTACGGTCAGCTTCGTGGCTTTTGGGCTGGCCGCTTTTCACGTCATCGTGGCCGCCGTGACCGAGCGGGCCTTATTTCGGAGAGAACTTGAGAAACCGTTCGTGGTCATTGTGAGATTCTCCTTCCCTGCCGCTTTTCTCGCTGCTAATCTACCTAGGCGGCTTTGGCATTCTGTATACTCATCATCACTCCACGACGCTTGGTCCAGAAAGCGTCTTATGAGATCTTTATTCGACTTCACCAGATTTTGTCACTTCTTTGTGCTGCTTCAATCTGGCAACATTTGTCGTCAGTACGGTGTCCGGATCGATTGTATCTTCTCATCTTTCTTGCATTAATGGCAGTGGCATTCGCTTGTGAAGCCGTGTTGGTTCTTGTCCGCAATGGATGGTCGTTCCTTAAACGCTCACGGGTCACCGTCACGAACTCGTGTGGGATGCTGAAAGTGAAGGTGCATCTCTGCAAACCTTTGAAAATCGAGCCTGGCCAGTACATCAATCTATGGATGCCCTCCGTAGGCCTCGGAGCCTTTTGGCAGAGCCATCCGTTTATGGTCGCCTCTTGGTCCACCGAGGCGCAAGAATATCTGGAGATTTTTATCCAGCCACGACGAGGCCTGACGAGAGACCTTCATCACATTGCTCGCCCAGATGGGCCTTTCGTGTGCAAATGGGCCATGTTTAGCGGACCACATGGGAACACTGTCGCGGTTGGTGAGTACGAGACGGTTGTGTTGATCGCTGATGGAGTCGGAATCGCCTCTCAAGTGCCATACCTGAAGAAACTGATTCATGGCTACCACAATCGTCGTGTGATCACTCGTAGAATCCATTTGATATGGCAGATCAGTGACATTGGTGGGTATTCCGACTTCAGACCCGACTCCTGCTGACCATCTCAGATGTCGGCATTGCCGCGCAGCCTTTTGTGAACGATGTGCTGGATGAAGACAAGCTGGAGAGCGGTGGTGTACGTGATTCGTCAATTCCTTCTTCGACCATCACTGATCAAATGATAGATCCTCCAGGTATCTATCTACGTCAACCTCGACGATATTTCGAAGATCTCGTTTGGGAGACGAAGCACCGTCTATCCCGGAAAGGCCAACTTTGACGAACTGGTGGAGAAGGAGTTAGCTTTCAATGCTGAATCCCGAGAGACGGCCAAATGGAAGGCTTTCCTGGTAGTCTTCCCTCAACCCCGATCCCCCCCGAGTATAGAACGCAATGTAAGCGGTCCTCATCCCTCTTCTAGATTCAAGTTGACCGAATTCAGACGTACCAAATCTGGCGCGACGAAGTGTCCTGTCCGAGTACTCGACAGATGAGTTCATGCAGCCATGGACAAACGTGCCACTCCAGAGTGAGCGCAGTGGACTTAATCCGCTCACACAGGACAAGCGGCAAGTGTCCGAATTGCGGCAGACGTCGCAGGGCTCGACCCTCATTCTCAGTGAGTCTCATAGTTCCCTGAAAAGAACACAGACTGATCCAATTCAGTGTCGGCATTTGCGGAAACCCGTGACGTTTTGCGGAGATTGG